GCGCCACATAAGGGCTTGCTGCTCCACTCACGTTCTCTATGTTTGCTTTCTAGTGTCTTCGGTTTTCTCTACCAATTGAGTTTTCTTTACATAAACCACTCTTCTTTTCCACCCTTCGAACTTCTAGTTCGAAGATCTCAATTTCTATTCCTCTCATTTTCTATATTTTCTTAGGTTGATTGAGAGCGCCAACCATTATCATTTATTTAACTACCCATATTCCAAAGAACTTGATTTCTACATCTCTCGCTCTTTTCCAGTTCACATTCGAAGCAGTAATCCTTTCATCCTACTTGTACGTCTTTTCCTTACATTTAAGATTTTAGTATTACTCATTTCCTTCCTCAACTCATGGATGACCCCTACTCCATCATTCGAGAAGTTAAGTTCAAAATTCACATAATTGTGTTAATTTTGTGTGGTTTATGGAACTTTGTTCTTTTGAAAAGACATATTCAACGCGAGCACCATGTTTTTCTGGAGCGTCTACCTCGCCAATATAACCCAGTTCGTCGCTAATCTATTCATATTCTCTCTTGGCCATTTAGTTTTTATGATCCCAGTAATTGCATGTTTACAAGAGTGCCTACTACTCTAATTTTATGTTTTCTATATCGGTTAAATGTCTTAATGTTGCCACATATGTAAGTTTCTCTTTCCTATTGTACTATTATATTCTAATTAAAGTAAATAAATACACCTATTTGAGAATTTCGTCCAAATATCACTACCTCTAACTTTATTTTCACCTTTCGAAAAATACACATTTTCTTTCCTTTGATCAACCTAAACATACTTAGACTTAATGGTCTCCTCAAATAAAATAACATCTGAACCTTATATCTTATATTTTACATCTTACAATAGATAATCATTTATGTCTTCTTGTAAACAAAATTCCCAGGCAAAGGAACATAACATCGGACCTCAACTCGATCCTAAAATACTTTTGAAAACTTTATTTATAAGGTGACGGGACGAAGTCTCTTCCACGTTACTGAACTTCCATCAATCTCAAACCATGATGACAACACATCGAAATTTCTACTAAATATTCAACTTTAAATTATCAAAAATGCTTCCTGTCAATTTCATTGCTATTGCCCAAAACCTTAATTCAGGATTTCACATAGGCTCTTATCCTTTTTAAAAGGGATTCATACCACATAACTTCTACTTTTACATTACCATGTTTATCTATGCCAGATTTAGACCTTTAGGCTCTTAGCTCCTTACGGAGCCATACATCAAATCTGGGGCACTCTCCCACTCATATGGGACCATTACTATGACCGATCATCGTTCAGCAGACACTATTCTATAATCATTTACTGATTGTTCCAAATTCAAATTTCAGTAGACTCATTAAGACTTTTACCTAAGGTGGCGGGGAAATCTTCTTCCACTGGAACTGAACTCCACATTAGAACCATATCAAAAGAAATTAATCAAACACTTTTAAACTCGTCAAATCTCTTTTATAATCAAATTCATCTCGAGGGATCATATCCCAGCTCTGATACCACAAATGTAACACCCTACCATGTATTCATGTTCCTAATATTTCCCTTGACCAATTTAGGCTTGGTTTACCTACAATCTTTATATGAAGTGCAAAGAAAAATGAAGTTGTATTTAAAACCAGTATTGTCTTAAGCCTTAGCTTGCAAAAATTTTACTTATTCCCTAACTCTTAATTGAAATATTTGTGGAGAGTTCAGTTCCGCCGCCCACCTCTTAGCCATTTGGCCGACAATACTCATCCGTCTCGCTCTACTGATGTCGTTCTAGTACTGTGAGGGGAAAATATTGACGGGGTGAGAAGTCACTCAATGAGTAAATAATAACCTAATATAAATATTAATACGAAATGATATCAGGCTATGTTGTGACTCGGAGTGTCTTCTATCCATTAGATTCGGTGCATATTAATAACTTGATAACTTTACCAAGGTCTCACCTATGTAGATTTACACAAAATTTCTTCCCTCGTCCATTCAACCTTTCACATATACGTTATGTGTCATACATGATTCGTTTAAGGTTTCACCTTTACTTTACCCTACCTGGTGTTGCAAATAGTTCATATTTATTCTCATACACCATATGGAATTTTCCATCATATCTATCCACTTCTATTAACACTGCATCATGGGATGTGTTATAGACACATAACATTATACACATTAGCGTCTCATGGCAGTATCATAATTAAATCAACATATCATAACTGCTTACAAAACAGTTCCCTGATCAATCATTGTACCACTCGTCATAGGAGATTATCAATGTACCTCATATAACTTCATATCACATATGAAACACATCGACCTTCACATTTTTCATGTAAGGGTTCACATTATATATATATCAAATATAGCAAATACTCAGATTGCCCTCTCAATCACATATCACACAACCATGACAAATACTAAGATTGACATTCTAGTGCTCATATTTCATCCAAGATCAACAATTTATCAACATCCAATCACTAACACACATATAGTTAGCTAGATTTAGTAGCTTTTGTTCTTTAATTTGCCAACTCATGCACTCCCCGGGATCTCGTGAACTCGTAATCTCTTAGGCATAAAGTGCATGATCTCATAAACTCGTGAACTCGTGGGCACATAGTGCCATATCTCATGAACTCCTAAACTCGTGGGGCACAGCGTGCCATATCTCATAAATTTGTAGCCAGGCCTGACATTACTCCTTAAAAGGAGTTCTCGTATAACTCTTTTATCTCTCAGGCTTGAAGCCTCTTTTCAATTATAATGAGTGCATGACAGGGCGCCATTACGTTTGCTTTAGGTGACCATACAAAATATTATAGTTAGTCACAACTCAATATATCACTTGTGTGCCGCAAGGGCCATTTCATATAACATTCACTTGTATAACTCATATGTCATTTTATCTCATCTAGTATAATTGACAATAGGAAACCTTTCTTGCCATTCTTTTCACTTGACAACCTCAAATGGCATTAACATACCATATACTCATCACATAATATCGTTTAGCACACACATAACATGTATTATGACCTTCTGGTCATACCATCATACAATCATTTCATCATATCATCACATTATCATACAATTACCACGACACGGTAACCTCATCCAATCATAGAATCATTCAATCATGTAACCATGTCACATAGCAACCTTCAATCACATTTGGGCTAAGTCTTACAAAGCCATCATATACCTTGTACTCGGGCCGCTTCATGACCAAAATACCATAATCGTATTAAGATAAACATTAGGTTAGAATTTACTCACAGTATAATTACTCAACTTTCCCTTTCCCTTTTGTCTTGACGATTCTCCGGCTTGCTCATTTCCTTTAAACCCCATATATAAATAAACTCAGTACGCATATAGTGGCTTAATGATCCTGAATTATGATACTTAATTAGATGTACATAACTAAATGTATCCGATCTACTTGTATGCGATTTGGGCAACATATAAACTCCCTACTTTGACTTCTATTCCCCCTTATTCTATTATGTCCACGTCTGTACATATTTATCTATTTAAGTTTGTGAAGTAACTATATTGCATGCAGATTAAAGAGACAATAATTGGATCCCTTAAATCAGAAAACTGAACCACCTAATAATCAACATGCAAAAGTCCTGAAGCCCATCACTATCCTCACGAAAGGGCATCCACGAAACTTAACTAGCAACCAGTTATAATTATTCCAATGTGCAAATGAACCCGCGATTCCTCTCCCCTCACCAAAACTCCCAAACACTACTAATAGCAAAAGATCAATTACCATAGGTATTAGCTGACCCTTTATTAGCCCTTATACTTGCCAAGCTGCTCCTTTTGTCCCAGGAAGAAGGCCTTGGGCAGTTTCTGAGTTTATTTGCAGGTGAAGGAAAGAAACAACGCTCTCCCACCCTACCGTCTCTCTTTTATTCGGTTGGGGAAAATACACAAGTTATTTGGTTAGAACAAAGGGACATCTTGTGCCTTCCTCTGCATGGGGTGATAAAAAAACCAAGTTGAGACTAATCAAGTTTCATAATGTAATACCACTACCTTCATCGGAGAAGTTTTCATCTTTTAAGCCTTTTTAATATTCGTGTTTCATTTACATTATCAGTTAATGGAAGCATAGCTCTTAAATTAGTCCTCACACATATTGACCAACTCAAACGAAAAAGGGTGTGACATTAAACAATGTAAGATTTTTGTTTTTGATGTCAAGGAGGAGAAGTGGATAGTGCTACCCCTTGCTCCTCTCCTTCAGTGCGCTTCACATTTTCCCATTGGATTTTCCTGATGAGCTCCAGAAGTTCGCCCCTTTCGATGGGCTTAGCCAATGCCAAGGCTCATTGTGGGTAGGACAAACTTTTGAAGGACAACTGAGAGTGTACATAGTCAAAAATGGTGAGTAGTGTCTCAAACATGATGTTCATATCCCGGATGGGATGGACTGTACCTAAGTTCAATGAATCAGACCATAAAGTGTTCCGACAACGCAGTCCATTTCCATGGTTTGCATCCTAGTGATCCAATGCTTTGTCTATGGGAACCACATTCCTAGAGTGTGATTTTGAAGGCAAAACACTGCAAGTAGCTGAGAATTCTGATCAGAATAGGAGTATCCGATGCGTGGAATGGTCCACTGTGTTACCACTTACTCTTCCAGTCTGGCCTACCCCTCTACATGTGGTATGTCCTTGATATTTTTGTTTATAGTCGACGATTCAGTGAATGACAAAATTCATTGTGATGTTAATGATACGATGTAAATGTTAGTAGTGGGCCAGGTAGTGGCTGTGAATTATGTAACGAACGAGAACCTTGGCGCTCGAGCCATGAACTTCCCCAACAATGTTAATCGACCTGAATGCGTTCTGTTCGTGCTTATTTGTGTGTTGTAGAGGTTTTTATCTGTAGCTTTCTCATATGGTTGCTATTTGTGATTGAATGTGAGGTTTATATGAGAAAGAGTAATTTGAAATAGTCCCCGTCTTTGCCCCAATCTACCACTTCATGTATATAAGCCAATATATATACAGGGATATCATCAGTGAATCACAAGCACACAGAAAAAGATATATGAACACATGAACCCAAAAAGAAAAAGAAAAACAGTTAATCTCCCCTCCCAAGAAAACAAAATGTCAAAGCTGCTCGGATTTGCTCATCAACTGAAGCAGCGCATTGGCTTTCCTCTTCCCTCGTTCCGTCCCGCTCTTTCGAATCTCAACCAGATGGTCATAAGCCCCGAACTGGAGCGCCACCAGCATGTAATGCGGGTTACCGGACCCAAGCTCCAGCAGAACCGAAGTGGCACACTCTTTGTTTTTTGGCGTCCCATCGACAATGAACTCCACCAACATCTCGATGAACGGAAGCTGTCCGATGGCTGTCCTTCCTTCCGGGTGCGACGCTAGGAGCAAGAAGATTGATAATGTCTCATCGATCATGTTCAAGTTTCGATCTTTCAGTAGTTGCATGAGTGGGTTCACGATCCCTGCATCTACAGCTCGCTCCTTGTTACAACTGCTGAGGCAGAGGTTGAAGAGCGCCGTGAGGGCGTCTTTCTTCCCCCTCAGAGTACCGTGCTGTAACAGGTCGACTAAGGGAGGGATCCCGTCGGAAAGCCCGATCGTCACCTGGCGGTACAAAAATGGAGATTTAATGTACATTCAGAAGTTGAGTTGTGAGACCTTGAATTGCTGGTTGTATTAGGGTGGTTTATTACCTTGTTCTCATCCAACATTGATAAGCTAAACAGAGCAGCAGCAGAGTTCTCTTTCGCTTCCCTTGACCCAGTCCGAAGCACATCAATGATGGCAGGGATTGCTCCAGCTTCAGTGATGCTCCTCTTGTTCATTTCATCAATTGATAAGTTGAGCAGAGCAGTCACGGCGTGTTCTTGGATTTTGGAATCTGGGTAAGGAAGAAGGTTGACCAACGGGCGAACTGCTCCATTCTTAGCGATCGACACTCTGTTTTCGGGGCTTTCTTTGGAGAGCATGCGGATTTCTTTGACAGCTTTCCTCTGCACATCCAGGTTGCTGGAGGAGAGCTCATCGACCAGTGTGGCGACTTCTTCGATTCCTCTGCAGGTGGAGAGTTCTCCAATGGCGAGATAGGATTCCTTCTTGGGGAGCTTGAAGTTGTTCTTCTCGCACCATTCGATGATTAGGCTTTTCAAAGCGCAGTTTGGCGCCATGGAAAGCTGCTCCAGCGTTTGTCTTGTCTTGGGACACGTCTTGTGGTCCGCGTCGAACCATTTCTGGATGCTCTCCCTTTCGTATGTCTTCACACCAAAACAGGGGAAACCAAATTTTACATCAAATGAGAGAAAAAGAGGAAATTCGTCCCATAAACCGAGTGGAATTTCGTTGTCACCTGGCCAGAAGCAATGAGGACGGGATCTGTCATGATCTCGAGCGTGATCGGGCAGAGGAAATCGTGAGGGATGACGAGAGACGGACTCTTGGCGAGCGATTTGGTGGCAGGGCCGCCACCACCATGGCAATCGAAATCAGAAGTCGCTTCTAATCCCACAATCTTCCTGATGTTGTTGAGAATGTCGACGATTTTCTGCACAGTTTCCTGGCTAGGAGCCAGGGCCCCGCCTCCTCCGCCTTTCTCCCTCACCAAGTTCCTCACAGCGATCGTCTCGTTCGTCACGCTCTCGACGTCATGGAGATCCAGCTTCCCAGCTATTCTCTTGATTATGGCACAGTCGGAATTCAACTCGTCGTTGTCCGACAACACCACCATTAAATCCATCGCTAGCTCCATGTCCTGCGTGTCCGTCCTGCGCTGTGCCCGTTTCAATTGTGCTCGCATAAGGTCGATCTGCTCCCTCACCTCGTCGGATATCCCGAGTTCTTCATACGGTACAGATTCCAGGGCATTGAACAGTTTGTCCTGCACAGCTCGAAATCCCACCATCACGGCCTCGCTCTCCACAGCCTGTGATGGAATGTAAAACCATAAAATTCAAGAACAAAGTTTTTGGGACGAATCGTGAATGAAATGAAGCTATATATTTATTTTGAGACGAATCCTGACCAGGTAAATCTTGCTTCCTTCATTGCAAGTTCTGAGGAGCTTCTTGGCCATGACGATTGTAGTTTTCAGATTCTTCAAGCATTCGATCCCTTCGTCGGTGATGGGCGTTTCGAGGTCCCGAATCTCCTCCAGGAAAGGGAGGAACGTTTTGATCCGCCGGACGAGGGCCATACATTCTTTCCGGTGGCTTCTCCGGTAATCTCCCAACTGGGCGACGGATCCGATCACCTTCAATATCTCTTGAATGACGGCGTTTCCATCTCGCGGCGAGGTCGATTCGATCTCGTCTCCGGATTCCACCCCTCCATTCTCATCATCGTCCATCGAGCTTCAAGTTTTGTTGTTCTTAATATTATCTTTTTTCCTTTTGTGATTAATCAGCGGAAAGAATTTTGGTTGATATGCGAAGAAGAGAGTAAAAAAAAAAAAAAAGAACCTGAAGGAATGAACGAATTAAATGTTCTATTGTTTGGAGCTCCGAATTTTAGCGGGGTTTTTCCGTGAGTGGAGGTGTTAGGTAAATTTATATAAGATGGAGGATGATTTGAAAGTCTGTTACTTTTTAATGAACATAATTTATAAAAAAAAATTAATGAGATAGGAAAAAGTTATCTCAAACCGGTTTGTGAACCCTATAAAATGGCGATGTTTGTTGAAGGAATACTATCATGGTACGTGGAAAGGTTACATATAAAAATTAAAAACTACCGAGTCGATAACTATAGAAAGGATTTTGGATCTGTTATCAAATGAGGCTCTAGCCCATTAATAAAATTTCAGGAAATTTCTATAAAAAAAACTATAGAAAGGATTTGGATTTTAATTTGGAGTATTATAAGAAGAGTACTCCATATAAGTTAGGTGATGGAGTAGGTCGTGCGCTATTTGGTTATTCAAATTGGGCTTAATGTGCGATTTGTAGGTCAGAGTAGTAATAGGGTAGTCCATTTGATGGTTAGAAAGCCCCTTTCATTGTATCCGACTACGTGTCATTTCTTTGATTTTATGGCCTGATTAAATTTCAGGATGTAATGATCTATTGGTCGAATAAATATATATGATTATATTTTGTAAAAAAAAAATAGAGCTATAACATGTAATTAATCTCTATGAAGCATCATAAGCTCTAACACTATCTAGACATCATTTGATAATTTGTATGGTTATTATTGTGTTCTCTTTACATAATAACTCCAATATGCACCATAACTATGACGATATTGAACTGTCTCTATCTCACATGTTACTGAATTCGACAACTCGCAATTCAACCACTCCATTATCTATCCATCTGGGCTTTCCTGAGTGTTCAGGTGCATCAAATTATTTTATGAATAAGTGTATCAAATTCAAATGTATGAAATGGAAAATTTCATGCGATATGTTTCTCATTGAGGAAACTTATGTTGAAATTGGATTGATTGCACTTTGACATTTTGAACAACTAATTAAACACAATTCACACCTCTTTGAAAAATGTTCAAACAAGGGTATTCAATATTTTTCACAACTCGTGAGATACATATACATTAAAATAACTCTACCCTTATGGAGATTCTGTGAGAACTCAAAAACTACAATTATGGTTTGCAGAGAAAATCATAAAATAAAACATGACAAGTGGTGTAAAATTGTGATTTTTTCGAACCCTTGATGTGTCATCTTCACTTTCTATTTATAGCCACAAGAAGTAACTACAATCAAAAATCGCTCAGCTAACAAGGAGTGACAATTACTTTCTCCATTGCTCTGATGATGCCCGACGATGGTTGTGGCCCCCTTTTTAGTCTTGACCCCCTCCACCACTTAGTAGCTCCTCCTTAGCTTTGATTATCGGATAGGGAAAAAAGTCTAAGGCATGTAGTCCCCTCCTTGTAACATGTGGTTGAGTATTTGAATCATGTGGGTCAAAATGGCAAAACAACTACCATTTATGATTGTAGGAGCGACATGAGTGACCTACTCGCCGCTTGACATTTAGCAAAATTATTGACTGTCATATTCATACTACAGAGATGACCTCCTCTCGTCACATCAAGAGTGATGAACCCTTCATCAGATGAGGGTGGCTCCTGTCAAGAACCAGTTGGTACCAATAAATGTAGTTGTTAAGAGATGTTCAATTATGAGTCACATACCATTACTAACCCCTCCCCACCCCCACATCAAGAACCAGTTGGGCCCAATCATTTGAGTTGTTGAGAAATGTTTAATTATTAATCATGTACCACTTACTAACACACCCTCTCAAATGAAAGCCACCATATATGGGCTTGAAGTTTCACAGGTCCAAATACATGTTCACTTCACCACATGAGAGTGGATACTCCATACTTAGCCAATTTTCACCCCACCTCATTGCATTAGGGTGGGAGGTTAACTAATGACCCCCTCATCACTTAGTCAAATTCTAGCCTTCATCATCATGTTACACGTTGCTCCATCCTCCCCTCCATACTTGGGGGTGGGGGGGGGGGGGGGGGAGTGTTATGATAATGACTCCCCATCACATCAAAAGGGGTATTGGTTAGGGCTAGAAGTTTGGTACCGGTATTTGGAATATACCGAATACAGTACCGAATTGTCTATATTTGGTATTACCGAATACACGTATTATTTCTTGGGATTGTGATTGAGATTAAGTTTCAATTGTTATTCAGTATTAGGGATAATGGGATTGGGATCGGTATATATCGAAATACTGAACAATACCGAAATATAATCTAGTGTGTATTTTATCCTCTCAACTAGTCTCTCTCATTCACTACTACACGACCCCCAACCACTAATCTCTTGTTAATTTTATAACACCAAAAAGCAAACACTAGTATTAGTCTTCTTTTAGCCTCCAATTCGTCAAATTAAAGATTACCAATGACAAAAACTTGAGATGTCACATTTCCTACATTCTCCTTATCCATATTCTAGCACTAGCCAAATTAAAGACTCTTTGCTTAGTCTCTTTGTCCTATATTAATCAATCAAATCAAATTTATATATTTAATTATTAATTTCAAAGTTAATTAATTTCGTATTTGATAATACCGATTGGATACTGAAGCACCGATTAGGATGCCGAAATATTTAGGGATTGTGATTGAGATACTGAAATTATTTAGGGATTGGGATTGGGATTGATTTTAGGATGTAATTCGGTATTCGGGATTTCGATATTTGGTATTGGGATACCGATACCGTACCAATTTCTACCCATAGTATTGGTGATGATCCCCTTCAAATCAGGGTTTGGTGATGACTACTAGATACTCTCCCATGCCATCCACCATGCTACACTAATGCCTTCTCATGAGGAGGGTTCTTCATGCCTTAGCATGATAGTAAGACTTTGTATGGCTAATCTCACACTCGGCAGGAGTAGAGATTGCGGCTTATCAATCATGATAAGACCCTCATATCCTAGTCTAATGGTACTTAAATAAGACAACATGTCTTGGTAGCATTGCATGTGGTCTCAAGCTCCTCTACTTTAGCCATCTTATCTGGCATATTGGGCTGTAGATATAAAACCTTATGAGTATGTCTTACTTTAGCAATCCCACCAGGAATTCTTAACTATTTTGGCTCACCAAGTGTACCATATGTTCTCTTAAGCCTTGATTTCTCCAAGTTTTCAGATGCTTACCCTCTTTGTACTGATGAAAATATGGGTCTTTGGGCTTAATGAGTTATTGACGACCACCCTTGTAGTCAACTTGACTTCGTCTTTCAACACATATACTTTGTCGAATTCTACACTTAACACTACCTTAAGACTTTGGCATCCTTCATGTTAGGTCTCTTCTGATGTAGTCCTTGCTTTAAATTTAAAACTTGGTTGTGTTATTTTTGTGATATGTTTCTAATTGAAGACTTTAGTATGTTCTTCTTATGATATGTTTATTTTAATACGACTCTGTTATAATGTGTTCCTTATTTACTTTAAATTTTATTTTGATCTTTTAGCAACTCCTATGATGACTTGTATCCCTCGAGAAATTAAGTATTGTAGAAAGAAAAGCAAGAGGAGATTGTTGGGGAAAAAAGAAGGGTTAATACCTTATTTTGGCCCGAACTGTACCCAAACTTTCTACTTTGGCACGTGGTTTCTAAAATTGCTCTCTAGGCCCGAACTATGCACCATACTTCCCCAGATGCGGGTTTTGACCGTCAAATTGAACAGTCAACATCATTGACTGTTAGTCAAGCGCCAGGTCACTTGCCACATAAGCAAACCCCAAATAAAAGCTTTTGATTTGGAATTTATTTAATTTATTTTGTTATCTAATAACAATAATTAATGAAAAAAATTCAAAAAATTTCCCAAACCCATCTTCCCCGATCAAGGAAAAGTTCCTCAACCATGGTCGTAATCGGGAAGAGCAAACATCACCGGTGCTTTGAGAAGGAGGAGAGGTCATCCAAGAGGACGAAAGGAGAAAGGCGATCATCATATTCGGCATAATCTCTCCTCAATCCGACTCTATGGCTGTGGATTCCACCCAAGATGGAAAAAGCTCCCACTCCCGACTCTATAACCCTGTCGACGACAACCTTCATACCACCGAAGCCTACCTGGAAGAAAACAGAGTATGTTTCTGCGTAAGAGCTTCTCAAGGTTACATGATCTTCCTCAAACACTTTGCCGCTCCCGAAGATCCTTGCTTCATCCCTTTCATTTTCAACCCTCTCGAGGGAACTCGACACCCGCTCCCTAAAGTTGACGCCAACGTATTCAAATCTCCCTGTTTCAACCGCACAGGAGAATCAGACAACCAAATCACCACCGGAACGGTTCGCGATAGCCTCGTTCGCAAGACCATCCTGACATCTGGCCCGAGCGACTGCGTGAACAAGGGTTGATTCACAGTAGTTCTGCTATGGGGGGTGACGAGGAATTTGAAGGATCTCGTTTGCTCGGCGTTCTGCGACTATGCGTGGTTGGAATTGTACGGGGCCGATTTTGTGTCGTACCATAACGTGTGTGTTTCATTAGATGCAGGGACAGAGGTAATCAACGCTCCACCCCCCCCCCCCCCCCGCCCCCCCGCCGTGGGAATTTTAGAAAGACAACTTTTAGGCACTTTATGTACATCGTGTATGTTGTAGTTTTGGTGGTAGAAGGTTGAATTTCTATTATGGAAGACATGTTTTCAATCCATTGCAAATCCATATTGAGGTCTTTTGTAAGTATTTTGTTTTCACTGGTTTAGTTTTTTCTTTATTTATATATATTTATGAGTAATATTTAATTTCACTTTTCTTGATATTTATTACTTGTGATCTCGGATACTTATATTTGTTTTTCTTACTTTTATATATAGTAAATGTGCACTTTGAACAACGAAAATAGCATACATTAACTAAAAAAATTCAATTTTTTTTATTTTTGCCTCCCCCCAGACTAAGATCCTGGCTTCGTCCCCAATCAGATGGATTTCTATT